TGGCAGCACAAAGATTGGTGGAGATATTGTTTGCACCCACAGGTGCTTCAGAGGTACAAATACCATCTCTGTCGCAGGCAGCAGCTAGGAGAGCTGATAAGCAGCTTTCTCATTGCTCAGAACCAGCAGCTGGTTTTATGTTACCCATGTGTTTTTTCAAAGTGTAGTGGTGTGAGCAGGATCCCGTGGGTAAGGGAGCACACTGCCCAGGCAGCACCTGAGGCGCAGGCAGCTGCCCAACACACTCCCTGAGGCAGGGCTGGAGGGTGCCCAGCTCAAGAGCCCAGTCCCAGCCCCCGCTCAGCCCCAGGTAGAGCTCTTACCTCGCTTGTTCCTACTGCACTTTTTCCTTTGACACTGCTCCAGCAAGATGCAGAGTAGCCTGGAGAGGTTTTTTATTTAAATGTGGGGGGTTTTAAATAATTTTTGGACCCATGTCAGCTCTGGCAGTTGCATCCTGGGGCAGGCAGTGCATTTCCCAGTCTCACAGTGCACTAGGGCCCCTGGTACTTCTCTGCTTAGAATTTGGTTTTAAACACGTGTCATCTGCGGCAAGACATAGTTTCACATGTGTTTTCACAAGACTGTGATCACTGCAATCTTTCCTGTTTGGTTTTTTTTCCTCTTTTTTTCCTGAGCATAGAGTTTTTGACTGCTGTTTCAAACAATAAATCATTTCCTGCTTCCCATGTATGGTAATTGTTATTTGCAACATGATCTAAAGCTTACCTGCTGGTGCACAAAAAGCTCCCACATTCAGCTCCAACCTGTACAATGCTGAGAAACACAATGCAGGGAAAGATGGCATAGAACTCCAAATAAAACCATGCTGTACCCACAGTTAGGCCTTTGGTTCAACAGCTGCCAAGGGATGAGTCTCCTGGAACCTGCACATCTGGAGCAGGCAGAAAGCAGCCAGGACAGCTGTTGTGTTCAGCTGGGCACATCCTCTGTAGACCGCAGTCGCTCAGCTGGAGCAGAGGCTGGAAGGAGCAGAGCTGCACAAGCTTGCAGCTGGACCGTAGCAATCTGTACCTGTTTGGAGGTGGGTTTAGATGCCTCTGCACCATGGCCCTCTGCAGGGCGTGCTGTAAAGGAGGCCAACACGTTCCCCTTGCAGCTTCATTTCTGGGGCACTGCCCCTGCATTACAGGTCAGTGTTTCTGCACACCCACTCCTGACCCCACTGCTGGGGCGGGTCTTAACTGAAAGCACAGGGACTGGGACCCAAAGATTCTCACGTTTTTCTACCAGGTAGTTAACTGCTTGCACTCGAATCATCTCAGCATCACAGCATTTCCTGAATAAATCATTTTTCAAAATGCAAATATGGCTGGTGACAAAATTCCAAACTTTGCCCTGGATATATCTTTATATTTAGTTTATTGGCTAGCAGAGCCTCAGTGGCCAAGGCACCACACTTGCAGACAGAAGACAAGCAGCTTCTTTTCCACATTCCAGTGACCAGGGTCCCAGTACACATGCTGGCGTACCTGTGAGAAAGCCAAACTCAATTCTGTCTTCCAAACTAGGCAGGTTAGGGCATTAAAAAATAAAAATAATAATTAAAAAATCCCCATTGCAAAAGCAAGGCCACGGGTCTATCTGTTAAAAAAGGACAGCTGCCTTCCTCGCCACTTGTATTTTTGCTGCTCTTTTGTGCAAGACCCAAGCCTCCAGCTCCATGTACTGCAAAGTCCCATCTGAAAATGGCAAGCGGCACATGGGCAGCAGAACCCACTCTGTGTGTGCTCTCTCCCAAAGGACTCCCAGCACAGAGCCGGGCACAGTGCCTGCCCCACTGAAGCCATGTGCAGTGAGATCCTACTACTGCAAAAAGAAATGACGGAGAGGGAAGAGCATAC